ATTTCTCTTGTGCATAGAAAATCCAATCAGTTAATTTTTGATTACATTTTCTCTGTTCATTTTGCAAAATATCAATTTGTCACTGTCACTTCCTTTAAACCACTCCATATTGAGGCTATATACAGTGTCCCAGTGCTTTCTTTTCTTATTCTTTTGTGAAGTAACTAGTTATCTATTGTTTTTTTTTATTTGTGATAGTTCATTTTGAGGTATTTACTTATATAAGTGTCTTAATAGGAAGTATAACTTTATTTAGCATAAATTATAATCATGAACCTAGATCTAAAGACAAAAGTCATATGTGATCGTACCTGTCACTATATTTGTGCACGCTTTTGGTAATATGGCTTATTTTAGGTCCTTATAGATGCTTATCCTTTGTCATTAATTGATGCAATTCTTTACTTATCAATGCTTGCATATCTAAGCATATAATATTATTTATTATAAATCTCAAAAATTGTTGTTAAAGATATTTTTATGATGCATTTAAAAGTAGATTATATTGATGAAAACTGATTCAAACTTAATATTAAGAGTTTATTTCCTTTTCTTGATAAATAGAAAGACAGGTGTCTTTGAAGTTTTAATTCTTGTGTTCAGAATTTAGGTACGTCTGTTATGTTATGCAATTTCAATCAAATTGAAATATTCTTGAGTTGATAAAATACCTTTTTTTTAGATGACTTTTACTCCTTTTTGTTAAGTATTATAAGTTAATGTAAACTCTTGTTATAATATACTCATTGATATATTGAATTTACAATTTTATTGGATAGTCAACATGGTTTCACTAAGGGAAAATCTTGCCTTATAAATCTTTTGACATTCTTTGTAAAGGTTACTACTTAAGTAGATGAAGGTAAGGGTGTAGATTTGGTGTATCTGGATTTTCAGAAAGCATTTGACAAGATGCCACATAAAAGGCTTGTAAAAAAAAATTCTCTATAGGTTTGGGAATGATTTAGCAACATGGATGGAAGAGTGGCTGGATGGAAGAAAGCAGAGGGTTGTTACAAATTGAGTTCAGTCAAACTGAATTATTGTCGCCTTAGGGCTCAGTCTTAGGACCTTTGCTCTTTTTGATTTACATCAATGATGTACATAAAGGAAAAGCAGGGGCTTTTCGTCAGTGCAATGTACCGACAGGCCACTCTTACTGCGGGCCCCCTAGTGATATAACAAATAACAGACTGTAATGTCTTTCCTCAAAATTGTTTTTTTTTTTATATATATACTTATATTTATCCTGTAGTAAACTATTTATCTTAATATGAAAATAAAGTCAAAATTTTATAGTTGATCGATTCTAATAGCCTCCCCCCCCCCTTAAGAAAAGTGCAGTCTTAAAAATGCTCCTGAGGAATAGTCAATAAATTACTTAAATTTGCAGATGATATTAAGGTCTTGGGTGTTGCTAGCTGTGAAGAGGATACTACTGATTTACAAAAGGATTTAGATCATGTAGTGAGTTGGGCAAATAAATGGCAGATGGGTTTTAATAATTATAAATGCATG